CGCCCCTGAGCTTACTTGGTACCAAGACCGTCGCGGCATAGCCGGAAAAAGCAAAGCCGGATAGTAAGTGCACATGGTTTTGCTCAAACCGATTTATCGGAATCCGTAGCATTGAAATCATGCGATGGAAACTTCGCGTGAAATATTTGTCCACTAACACGTTATCAAATAGCCCGTAATCAACTGAGCAAAGTCACTGCCCAAATCGTGCTTCTCTGAGTCTGTTAGTTACAGTTTTCTCTACCGTGGCTGAACTCAATCTGTGATCGTTATAAAAGGCTGGTATGTGGTCGGGTGCGTGTACCCATCTGGTAGATCTTATATCACAAAATCAAAGCACATGTGTTATCGAAATATAGGCCTATTTCGCAGTTTCTCATAAGCCAAACTGCTCCTTCGCTGTCCACACTTCCTTAGCTATCAGTTGAACCGGATAAACCGAAGAAGAAACATCAGCTACTTTGGGATCCAACGGTAGGCCGTGATGAGATGTTCGGCGCCGAAGGCACAAGGGCAAGATAAATGTGAAACTATGCATTGGACTCACTTGTTGGGAACTGCACTTTGGTTACATCCGTCGGCTCACTGGGTTCACCGAGCCCTGCCAAGTTGTACGGAACCACACGAAACTCAAACTCTTTGCCCTTGGGAAGGCCTTTTACAGTGTAGTTGGTGCCAGTCACATTGGCCGGATTGGCTCTGAAACAGTGCACAACGGTATGAGTCCTGGCTGTATAGTACATGATCATGCATGAACTTGATTGACCATAACGTCCCTACGTCCATTTACTGGAAGCAAAATCAGGATTGCTAGCTGGCATATTTTAACCAGAGTATCACACTTCGAATTCAACCAGCAAAAGCCGCATGGTGCCTCCTGGATTTGGTTGAAGTTTGGAGAAGTAGTCATGGTTGCATGGAATACGCTGCGCTGGCTTTGGCACGTGCTACGTAAGCCTGGTCACCGCTTACGTAGGAGGGCCTTGTTTGCTAGATGTAGGGTGGGTTAGAGGTGGACAGAAGTCGACTTGGTAGCGGGAAATGAAGACACTGACAACCAAACTGGGTGCTGTCAGTCCGTCTCGCCTTCCGGGAGGAAGTCCACGTGACCCGCCTTGTGCTTGATTGCAGACTGTACAGGACATGGCTCGCAACCCACACCAGTGGCGCGCCTGCTGTCGTTTCTTAGTCGGATTGGCTGTTTAAAGTATGTTTGGTGGTGTTATCTGTGAGGTGTGCCCATGCTGAGGCTGATATTACATTCATGATACTTCTTCACTGCAGTTGGGCTAAACCAACTTACACTTAAACTAGATTTTTTATGCTGGGTAAATTTCATTCCACTTTATTTGGTTTGTTCTAACTGCCTGAATAATCTTATGAACTGGTCAGGTTGCTTAAGCTAATTGTGGTCATCTTCCTTAACTTTATCGCATTTGTAGCAGTTTTGAGTAACTTGTACTTACTTATCGCGGATTCATTGTTAAACAACTTACTTCATATGCTAATTTAACAAAGAGTTATGTCGGCATAGCCGCATGCAGATTTATTTTATTTTATTTGATAAAGTCATTTCAAGTGATTAGCTGTTGCTTGATATCGCCGATGTGGCTGCGCTTGATGTGCATGTTGACAAGGTGCCTACCTGTCTATTACCCACTACCTCGTCCATACTGGCTCCAGGAGACAGTTGGTCGTTGCTGGAGGGCACTGGGTTCACGGTCCTTGTGGTCGTGCTAGGCTCGAAGAGCGGTTCCATGCACTCAGTGTGGTGCGGACTACGGTCCAGCCACCGCCTTGTGTGTGCTTGATTCCTCAAACACAGCGTGCTTGTGTTTACTTGTGAAGGAGTGTGGGCCGGCTCCGTTGGTGAAACGTGGTTCCCATCCGCATGCCTCCCGGTCTTCTTCCTTCAGGTTTACCATAACTATGGGGTGTGTGAATGGGGCTGTGGGTGTTGCAGCGCAAGCCACCCATGGTCCCTCTGTAGACGCAGGCGTGGTGTGGCTGGCCACAGTGACAGACAAATCCGAAACCGGATGCTGCCAACCATACGCATGCTGAACCGAATCCTAGCTCATACGGTTTGGATACGACCCTTCCCTTTTAGCGTAAATTTAAAGAGAAAATAGCCAAAGCTAGTGTCCGAATTATTACAGAGAACTAAATTGTTGCACCTGCTTTGGAGAAACTTGGTGATGTTACAAGATTACACAAACTATGCCTTGCTAGAAAGTTATTAGTTTCGTCATATGTGCCAGAAATATGGGGTTGCACCATTAACACAGAGGGACCACACATAACTTCAGTGGTTTATCCCAGAAGCCGCACACAGGTTGAGACGGTGATAACATGACAGACAAGCATATAGATATTGGTACCCCAGGGATTAAATTGAAGGAACTGATCTTCGACAGGCGATTCTTGTTTGAAGAGAGTTATAATGCACATGTAAACGGAGTAACAATGGGGCCACCCTTCGGACTGTTAGTTGCTGATTTGCAGGCCAAAACTAAAACGACTCCGACCAATTATCTCCTCACTTGATTTATACTGGAGGAACATGGATGCTAACTTTACTAGTTATTATTTGAACGCTGACGTTACCGCTCTGCTAGGTCAATTCAATAGCTCGCGTGCTTCTGTGAAGTTCACAAAAGAGATTGAAAACAAAGGGAAATTAACTTTTCTGGACATACTGAGAAGCAAACATGAGGATGGCACACTCCTCAGAAACATCAATCGAAAGTCTACTTAGATAGGCTAGTACACACACTTTCGTAGCTTTGTACCCTTGAAGCACCAACGAAACTTAGTTCGCTGCGTAATTTATCATGCCAACAAAACTGGTAGTCCAGAAACTTCGGAAAACCAAAAACATAGCATCATTGGGACAATACAAAATAGCGGTTACTCCGTTCTTTTCATTCAGAGGTACTCTGTGATTCGTGATTGGAGAGAAACGACAACGACAGTGTTAGAAAAGGATGTTTCTCGCAGCCCCTTTCAAAAGAGATGCCCCATTCGAGTTATTGAACCGGTGAATCTCAAATGCAGAAGCCAAATCGTTCCTTGTTGCCTACCCGCCTGTTGTTGTAGAAACTACCCCGTTTAGTACCCAATGTCATAACTATTGACTATTCGCCCAGTCCGATAAATAATGCACAGCAATTTTTAGAGATGCTCAAAGGACTACGAATCGGTCATGAGGAACCAATGGTGTCATTCAACGTCGCCGCATTGTTCATCTCTGTCAGTTTACAAATGGCGCAAAAAACCTCAGAGAACGCCTGGATGACAGTGGACCAGCACTTGGGAATTTGACAGCCGATAGTGTATGTCAACTTGTCGACTTGTGTCTCACAACCTACTTTAGCTTCAATGGAGTGTTCTATGAACAAATAAAAGACGCCTCAATGGGATCCCCTATGTCTGGGCTTATCGCAGAGATCATCATGCAGGAGTTAGAAGAGAACCTGCTCCCGATTATCAGCCCGAAATTATCGGTCCGATATGATGATGATGACACTTTCGTGATACTCAAACGCAGTCAGCTACAGACCGCGCAATAGTTGCTGAACAATGCAATGGACGACACTTGTTTCACCATAGAGTCAGAAATGGAAAAGCAACTATCTTTCCTGGATGTGCTTGTTACCAGAACAATAGATGGAGAAATACAAACATCAGTTTACAGGAAGAGCACTCACACTGACCAAATCCTAAGTTTCAACAGCAATTATACAAATTGTCACAAAATAAGTCGCATACGGACCCTATTTCGCAGGACTGTGTCACGCTGCACTACTGAGGAAGCAAAGCGAGAGGAAGAGAAACATACGTTTACGTCCTTCATGCGCAGTTTCGTCCGAAGACCCCTGAAATGCATGGCTGCAAATACTGTGGCTGAACCAACAACGCGAAAACGGATCGCTTTGCCTTATGTTAAGAACGTATCGGAAATGACGGCCAGATTTCTTAAACCGTATCGTTTGATGGTAGCCCACATACCAACTGTCACACTTAAGGGAACCTTGTCTAAACCGAAAGGTAAATTGAAGGTACACGAACGCAGTAATGTGGTTTACAGGATAAAATGCAAACACTGCGAGAAGTATGTGGGCCAAATAGGGAGGAAATTGGTTACAAGAATACAAGAGCGCAAGTGAGTTTGCCGTAACCACTACGCATCATCTCTGATCCCGGCGCGTCGTGATGAGGAGGGGAAAAGGTTTGATTGAGATAGAAGGAGAAAAAGCAGGGAATTTCTTAAAGCGTGGTTTACTACAGAACATTCCATAAACCTGTGCATGAAACTTAGACCCGGTGTACCAACCACTGAGAAAGGAAGAAATTGGACAGATCAGAAATCATAACAAGGCAGGAAGCAGCGGCGGCCGAACAATGAACCACCGCAGTTCATATGATATGAAGCGAAGAGGCCAACTTCAAACGTCACTTGCCCATCGATCAAGAGCCGACGACACACTCAACGAGCTTGTACACTAAGCAGTGACACACTGAGGATGTCACCTCGGCTGGCGATGGAACGTCTGCAGCACAATTGCTCAGTTCGGAGAAGAAACGAAAACCAGAGCAGTCAACCCCAGCAACAGGTATTCCGATTTATCGCAAATCCTATATCAATATACTCGTACCAGTTTCGTAAGGCACTTCGGACACATGAGCAGAATCTTGGTGAAACGGAGAGCAGTACATTGCCCAGCAGTATTGCGGAAGCGTACAGTCAGAAGTATCAATAACTCCATTTTGAAACGTTTGGTCCAAAGCGGACATCAAACTGTAATCACGGAAGATTTTAAACACTTTTATGCCGTGACAAAACGCTGCGCAAAAGGATTTAGAAACGCCTATTAAGAACGGCTATTACAATCTGGTGTGCAAACCGAGTATGGTAATGCAGGTGCTTCTGTTGTCGTGGCCGTAATTTCACTGTGGGCGCCGGTTACCTCGATCGCAGGCGGTGAATCAGTTGCCCCGGTCATCGGACGGACGAGTCGTCCTTTATTGTATGGATGTGGATGTATGTGCCTCTGTGTGCCTAATGACCGAAGAGTCAGGTCGACAGATGTTGCAGCGTGTTTAGATTGGAGGGTCATTATGAAGTACTCGTTGTGTAAATGGATTGCGACGCATAATCCGTTTAGATTTGAACAACCTTTGCCCAACTTCCCTAGCAAATTGTAATATTTTCCCCAGTTTATATATGTAGTATCCTGATGAGGATTGTCGAAAAAATTTCTTCGCCGAATTAGAATGAAATGGTGATGTTGTTCGAACAAATAGAATGTTGCCCGCGTCAGCTAGATGCACATTCTGTTGTTTCCAAGCCATTAAAAAGAACGAGAATGTGCAATAACTCTCTCGCAGTCACAAATTACATGGCGCTTGCCAAAACGGTAGTCGGGGGTGCAAATGGTATAGACTGAATTCGTCAGGCTCAGTCTTACAATCAGTTACTTAGGCGGACCGTTACTGTCTCCCGTTGCCCAGTGACTGTCAAGAGTGGAATCGTGGATTTAGCTCCCCAAAAACCAGAAAACAAATTGGTCTTCCAGTGCTTCTGAATGTGTGGTGTCTGTGTAATTAAGCCCAGCTGCGGCAAATTCAAAATTATTATTATTGTTGCTTTATTATGTATTTATTTATTATCAATAGTTACTTATTGTTTATTCACT